GCCTGTAGTCCCAGCTACTCAGGAGGCTGAGGCAGGAGGATTGCTTGAGCCCAGGAATTTGAGGTTGCCATGAACTACGTTGACACCACGGCACTCTAACCTGGGTGACGGAGAAAGATTCTGAGTCAAAAATAAATTAACAAACAAACAAATACATAATAAAACATTAGCCCAGAACCTGGGCTGGAGTAAACAAACAAACAAAACAAAAAAATTCAAACGGGAGACAGGTAGGAGATAGACCTGGTCTTTTTTTTCCCATCTGTTAAATGAGAAAACAAGCCCTTCTTTGTGTTTTGCGAATATCAGTCCCGTCCAGCTTCAGAAACACTGTGAGAGGCTGCAAACCACCCAACAGGGATTATTCAGGGTTGAGGACGTGCTATCAGCCCTGCCACAGACCTCATGACACCAGCGTTAATTCGACAGAAGCTTCAGGTACATATTTTCCCCAACCCAAGCCCACAACTCACCCATGTCATCAACAGCAGAAGAATACAGTGGAGGACCCGCAGTTTCACAGGGTGGCTGATAGCTGCAGGGATGTTTGCTGTGAGAAAATGGGTGCAGATTACCCACAGCCCGACCCCCAGAGAGAAAATGCAGACTGCGGCAGAGAGGACGGCCAGGCCCAGGATTATCATGCTGTTTCTAACTCAGAGGAGGCCGAGAGGAACCTGTGTTCAGCAGAGGCTCATGAGGACACGGTTTGCAGCCAGTAGCTTCTTCCACTTATGTGTCACTACCTGCCCTCCCACCTCCCCATCTCCCACAAACATTGGCCAGGCCAGGTGAGTCGTAGCCTCAGGTGAGAATGTCTTTCTAGGACAGGGCCCTTGCAGAGGAGAAAGTGGCCCATCTGGCCTGCTCCAACTGGTAAAGAAAGTTCTAGAGTTTCACTTTACATCTTGGCACTGCTGCTAGAAATGGCCTTGGAGAGGACACCAGGTCCCAGTGGACATCCCTCTACCTGCCCTCAGTCCTCATCAATCACCCCCCCAATTCTACTCTGGCCAGTCTTGCTGTCCTTCAGCCACCGTGGAGGCCCCAGGGCCTTTGCATCTGCTGTCTCTGGGCCCCATTCTTCCCCAGACCGGGACTGGGGCCAGACTCCCTCCCTCATCTCTTACTGGTCTCAGCTCAAATGTCGCTTTCTCTGGGAGGCGGTCCCTGGACACTTTGTGTACAATTTAAACCCTCACCAGCATTTCTTGGCCCCATTCCCCACCGCTGACTCCTTCTGTCTGGCCTTTATCATTACAGCATTCTTTCCCCGTTTTTTTATTGTCTGTAGAAAGTCATCTCTGGGAGGACAGGGATTTTCCCTGTGTACTGTTTCAGCCCCAGAAGCTGGATGCACCTGGGTTTGCCACTTGGTAGGTGCTCAGCAAACATCTCTTCAATGAATGAACAAACACACAGACTCGGTCCTCTTCATTGTAAAGCAGGGATCACTGAGCTCACTTACCTTTCCAGGTTGCTCCCACTGTTCAAAATCTCCCCTAATGGCAAATTCTGACATCATTAGTAACAATGACTATACCTGGTGTGCCTCCCACTCAGGTGTGAAAGCGGTGGTTCTCAAACAGGGGATGTTTTTACCTTCCGGAAGACATCTGACAAAGCCTGGAAACATTTTTGGTTGTCGCAGCTCAGGGAAGGGGCAGTGGCCCTGGCATCTCATAGCTAGAAGCGAGGGAGGTTGCTAAACATCCCGCAGTGCACAGGCCGGTCCCACAACTAAGCATTACCCAGGCCGATGAGTCAGCAGAGACAAGGTTGAGAAACCTATGTTAGCAATACTTGGCTTTGAATCCTGGCTCTGGAAAATGCCCATATTCTGATCCTGAGCAAGTTAGTTACACTCTCTAAGCCTCAGTTTCCAAATCTGTAAAATGGGGATGATGATGATAGGACTCCCCCTGGGGACGGCGGCTGCATCAGAGGGGAGCACGCATATGCTTAAATGGGACCATATGTGACACATTCTCTGTAACTTGCTCTTGGCATTCTCCACGTCAATCAATTTGACCCTTTCACATAACTTATGGTGATTACAAAATGCAGGCATATCTCAGAGATATTGCAGGTGTAGTTTCAAATTACCTCAAGAAAGCAAATATCACAATTAATTTTCTCACACAATTTTTTTGTTGTTGTTTCCCAGTGCATATAAAAGTTAGGGTTAGGCTGGGCACAGTGGCTCACACCTGTAATCCTAGCACTCTGGGAAGCTGAGGTGGGAGGAGTGCTTGAGCTTGGGAGTCTGAGACCAGCCTGAGCAACAGCAAGACTCTGTCTCTACTAAAAATAGAAAAAGTAGCCAGTGTCATGGCAGGCGCCTGTACTCTGAGCTACTCAGGAGGCTGAGGCAGGAGGATACCTTGAGCCCAGGAGTTTGAGGTTGCTGTGAGCTAAGTTGATGTCACTGCACTCTAGCTTGAGAACAGAGTGAGACTCTGTCCCCAAAATAACAAAATAACAAAAAGTTATATTACTACACTTTAGTCTATTAAGTGTATAATATCATTGTGTCTACAGATACACATCTGTTTATTTATTTGTTTATTTATTTATTTTTAAAGAGTCTCACTTTGTTACCCTCGGTAGAGTGCTGTGGTGTCATAGCTCATAGCACTTGAGACTCCTGGGCTCAAGCAATCCCCTTGCCTCAGCCTCCTGAGTAGCTGGGACTATAGGTGTCCCAGCCTGGCAATTTTTAGAGGTGGGGAATCACTCTGGGTCAGTCTGGTCTCCAACCTGTAAGCTCAGGTGATCCACCCGCCTCAGCCTCCCAGAGTGCTAGGATTACAGGTGTGAGCCCTCACACCCAGCCACACCTCTTACTTTAAAAATACTTTATTGCTAAAAATGATAATGATCACGTTGGTCTTCAGTGACTTGTAGTCTTTCTGGGGGTGGAGAATCCTACACTGATGATGGCAGATGCTGCCTGATCAGAGTGGTGGCCACGAAAGGTTGGGGTGATTGTGGCAATTTCTTAAAATAAGACAACAATGAAGTTTGCCACATTGATTGATTCTTCCTTTCATGAAAGATTTGTTTATAGTCGGCGATGCTGTTTGATAGATTTTATCCACAATTGAACTTCTTTCAAAATTGGGGCTAGTCTTGGGCGGTGCCTGTGGCTCAGTGGGTAGGGAGCCAGCTCCATATACCAAGGGTGGCAGGTTCAAACCCAGCCCAGCCAAACTGCAACAAAAAATAGCCGGGCATTGTGGCAGGTGCCTGTAGTCCCAGCTATTCAGGAGGCTGAGGCAAGAGAAT